TTATAATTTACTTTTACCGACCCCTACCCCACACTTATTTCATACAATGCCCTCATTGTATGCTAAAACAAATTAAGAACATAAAAAGGGAGAAAAAGGAACAGACTCCCCTGGGTAGTTGTGGCGAGATCGAATGGGGCTGCTACAGGTTGCTTCAAATATTGCTGAAAAACTGAAAACTGGAACTGCTACTTCTGAATATGCCGAAAAATAAAATCAAGACCGCCATCTTTGAAAATGTGGTACAAAATATTGCAATTAGATGCAATGCATAGTAACCATGACGTGGGAAAGTGTCGACCACGTCGTCTCGTCAAGAATGACATCCTCTTCTCGCGATGAAAAATCCCCCACAACATAGGAAAGTGTCAACCATGTCGTGGCAGCCGGGATGATACTTCTTCCTCGCGTCGAAATACAACTCTAATAAATATGCACCCCACACTTATGACAAATTGTGGGTCTTGACTATAATCTTCGAACTCTCACATGGCTCTCTAGCAACAGTCGGACCTAGCTGCTGAACTTACTGCCAGCTTCCTAAGGGCGAAAATTCTGCATAAATCTAAACAACCATAGAGCATCAACATGGAAAACAAACTAAATCAAAGTTTAATTACATACCAAATACTAAAAACTAAACTTAAACTAAAAAATAAACACAAAACAAACAAATAAACAAAATAAATAGGATCACTCGTCATCTCCATCATCATGTGGCTGTGTCCCAGAAGTACCGGCCCCGTCAAATCGTGACTGGAATGGTGGTGGAAAGGAAACCGAATACTGAAATCCCTGATGGGCAAAGAATGCGTTCAACGCATTCCCTTGCCATCGCTGTTGCGCGTCCACATGTGCAACATACTCGCTAAGGTTCTGGACCCTCAAGTCAAGACGATCAATGCCCTGAGCTAAGTAGCGCATATCAATCTCCGGCTCAGGTCCCTGCTGCGCTCCCCGAGGAGCAGGTCTACGCCGCGGGACCCGTCTCGGCTGTGGCTCGGCGGCACCCTCCTCATCCGCCACATCATCTGCTCGAACCCTCAAAACACCATCTCCACCCCGCTCTAATACGCGCATCGACTCCAATAGCTGAAGACTCATCGGCCTCATGTCGTGAAACACCATCGATCTCGTGATCTCAAGTGTCATCAACTGATATGATCGAGCTAATCGTGTGATAAAATGCCCTCCGCATATCGGGCTATCTCCCCGAAGTCCCCTGGCCCTCCGTCCTAAGTATGCAGCTAAAGCAACTGGAAGGTTCAGGTGCCTCCCTGGAGTAACTAATGCCCATAGGAAATACAGGTCCGTCGAAGGCACTCTCTCACTATTCTTGTGATGTGTGAGAGACATAGAAATCAACCGGTGCAACATTCGGTATGTAGTAGACCGAATCATCCCCCCTCGAGCGGTAGATGGGTATAAATTCCTCCCGTAATCTCGGCCCAAAAAGTGTTCTCATTGTAGTCCTCCGGCCGCTCCGTGAGACAATCAGCAAGAAATGTCGGGAAGTGGACACTCCTTGTCTCATCGGCTGTGTAAATACCCACCCGAGTAGCAAGCTCTATCACGCTGCATTCCTGGCTCACTCCTCCCAGTCTGAAAGCAAAGGCTGTCCTGTCATTGAGTGGCTTCCTAGGATCATAGGAAACTGTAGCATAGAACTCCAGCAAAAACTCTCGATACACCGGCTCCTGGATCCTGAACAACCGCGCCCATCCCTGACACACAAACAATTCCACACCACTCGCGTCCGAGTGTGTGTATTGCAAAAATTCCTGGATTAATGCAGCAAGTCCAGTCCTGGCAGCCAACTCCCAGTCGAAAGAGGGTGCAATATCAATCTCCTTTGTGAGAAGCAGGCTCAAGTTGGTGCTATAACGCGCCCGGGTAGCATCGCTCAGAGTTTGCGGAAATTGTAAAAAGCGATGATCGGTCACATCCTCGGGAGGGTTGGTTCTTTGTGCCCTTCGAGCCATAATCTGCACATATTAACACAAAAACACAAAACCCACAAAATATGGCAGCATCAATATTTTTTTTTCAAACCAAAAATAATGAAACTGGATAGGGTCAGTACGCTGGGCGTACGTCCAGGCTTGAGATTCTGTGTCCTGGTCCGTTTGCTTGTGCTAAAATCATAAAGCATATCCATATTCACCGAATTCAAATATATAAGCAGGTGGTCCAGTAAGATCAAACACATGGTGGAACCAACCTTGAGGTCCAAGGCAGTAAAAAAAAAAAAAAAAATCGGAACCTCCTAATATGAATCAAGCCCTGTAAATTCTTTATCTATTTGAAACCATTTATAAGGGAAACATGCATACCGGTCAAAATTTGAAATCAGTCTAGAACTCGATATCACCGGGGTACGGTTGGCGAACGACCCCAAGCTCGAATCGATGAATATGGGACGGAAATTAGACAAAATTAAGCTCGAGGGTTTAATGTATTAACCGAAATCGGTCCATTCAAGCCCTAATCAAACACGAATGTGTGAAATCGACCCCTAATTCGAAAAAATACACGAACCCTAGAATTCGAACAAGGGCATAATGCAGCTTATTTTATCGATTTAAACACAAATCAAAGCCATTGAGTAACCGAGAAACTTACCCGTGTGTCGAATTTAACAAGAAACGAGATAAAATCGAAAATCCTTGGAGAGAGTCGCCGTCACAGCTTTTGCGAGAGAGGAGAAGAGGGAATAGAATAAAGAAGAAGTCAAAGGGTCAAAAGATATACCTGGTCGCCGTGTTACGCGGGGCGTACCTCAACCCCCTGAAATGTTCATTCGCGATCCGGGGCATATTACGCATGGCGTAATTAAACTTACGCGGGGCGTAAGGAAAATTTCCCTTTTTATTTTTTATTTTTTATTTTTTATTTTTTTAATTGAATTTCCTTTTCTTTTTTAATCATTTCATCTAGGACTTAAAACTTATTTAAATTTTTTCCTTTTTAATTTCTTAAGCTAATGATGACTTCACGATGAGTGATAAAAAAAAAAAATTGAGATGTCATAATCACTTATCTTTGTCAAGATCAAACAACAATGGTTGATCAAAAACCTTTGCATGCAAGAATTGGTTTGCGAAAACACCCACTTTCGGGACCCGTTAGAATATTTCCTTTGTTTTCCTTGCACCATTAACTAGAAGCGGAACAAGAAGTGACCTTACTAGTCAAAAACAGCAAGAGCTCGGTCTTCCACTTAACCACCACAATACGCCTTGCTATACTACGCCTCATGGATTGAGTTGGACAAATCAACAAAGTAGTAGGCTAAGCAGGTCAAGAATTCCCTAATCGCTTTCATTTTCGAAACCCATGCAAAAAGTAAAGTCAAGCAATGTGTACAATCCCAAATTCCTGCAAAATAAAAACAAGAACCTTCCCGACAAGTGAAAAGATATCATCGAAAATCAAACTAAAAAAAATAAGAACTAACTAAAACAAATAACGAATAATCAAATAAAATAAATTAATGACAAGCCGTTCCCCGGCAACGGCGCCAAAAACTTGATGTGCACAAAAGTACCCACTAATTTTAATATTTATAACCTAACAAACTTAGACTATCTATGCACTTATAGGCAGTGTACCTAGTCAGATTACAGTATAGCTTAGGTAAGTCGGGTGTCGATCACAGAGAACGGTGGATTAATTTAATATATTTAATTATAGGTTATATGTCACACGAAAAGAATAATTTAATAAATCTCAAACTAATAATTAATTAACCATTCTCGATAAACTGACAGGAAAAACAAATCTCTTTAGGTACTTTGGTTTAGACAAATTCCACCTTGAAAACATAGACAATTGCATGCACAAATTCATTTATTCAAGTTCACCGATTCCTAAATTGATTAGATTCATGTTCACTATAACTAATCCTTTAGCAAACAAGTTAATTCAAACAGTGATCAATTGATTAAACTAACATGCTTCCTAGTGTTCAGTTCGTATCAAGCAAGACTTGTAAACTTAGTTAATTAAACATTTAATTAACCTCTTGTTGATGGTCATCAAACAAGGCTCACACATTAACTTATTTATTCTCATGTTAATCCTAGTTTCACATTCGTTATTTCTAGTCTTATAATCTCAATGGTCATCAAAAATCATAAGAGACAAGCAAATCAAGCAGGTTTTCATACAACTCAATTCACTTAACAATTAACAGCAAATAATCATCATTAACACATGAGGATCTTTGAACAAGCTTGGCAAGATAAATTAAACACAAATAAATTATTTAACATCACAATTAGTCTAGGAATCAAAACTTTATTCAATCATAAACACAAAGTAAAAGGTTTTTACACCCTAATCAGAAAATAAATACAGAAGTACCATAAGGAAGTGCTAAACATGGTCACGTTAGCAATCCATATGATTACCGACATGTATCCGCTCTCTAATCCTTCAGATCTCTGCTCCCGTTAGCTTAACGGCCTTCCGGCCGCCTTCTAGACCCTCAAAACGGCTTAACAGAAGTTAATTGTCGACTAAATTAGGTTAGAAGTCGAATCCCCCTTCCTGGTTAGCTAAAAATCGATATTTATAATCTTTGTGGCCGACCTAAGTACGCTGGGCGTACTCAGATTTACGCGGCGCGTACTATGGATATACACGCGATCATGTATATCTGTTGCAAGCCGGTACGCGGGGCGTACTCTTAAGTTACGCGGGGCGTAACCGCGTCCTCAGCCCCCATTTTCTTCCTTTTAGCTTCTAAGCCCGGTTTCCGCTTCAGTCTTTTCTCTTGTGCTTTATTGACAACAAATAGCTGCAAAACATAATTCAAAGCATTATGAGTACTCTTTAGTTCTAAAATATAATAAATAAGGCCAAAATATTAAGATAAAGTGCATAAAAATATATATAAAAATACACATATCACTGTCCAAGAACATTAATGTCGTTGTTAGACCCCGTTGCTCCGAAAAAGGCATGCCATATCCACAAATATTGAGAAGCAACAACTTTTAGACGATAATTGGTTCACCTATATCTCCTCGAGTGAACTGACCACGCCATGCATTTGGACATTTTCCGCATGCAAGATGCGTACAATCTAGACTGCCAAGCATACCCGAAAATCCATGCCGCTCTTCATGAGCCAAATATAATCTCTCAATATCACGTTGAGTAGGTTTGTGCAAATATTGTTCGTGAAAAACCTCATACACACATGCAGAAAACCAATCTACATATTCAACTGCAGTCCTCTCGGATACTGTCAAAGTATTCGTCAGATGCATCAAATGTTATACCGTATCCCAAATACCTAAGAGAAACTACACATTTTTGTATACTACTAAAACCCATTCTTCCTCTAGCGTCAGGTTTTTGTTTAAAAAAAAGCATAACGAGATTCTAAAGCATTACTAATACGTAAAAATATAGTCTTATTTAGAGGAAACAACATTCAAAAGAGTCATCATTATAAAGACAATTATCGGTAAAGTAATCGGGTACCAATAAGTAGTGTGCGACTTGGTGATCACGATTGACGACCACCCTTGTACGAGCAACATTCAAACTTTATTCGTCGTGAATGTGTTGCACAACGTTGAAGAATGTCTCGAAAAATTCTACGTCGTCATCCGAGTCAAAAGTTTGTAAGAATTTCATATGTTATGTGGAATCCATTTGCATGTGTTTTGTGGTTTTAGAGAATGAAAGAATGAATATGTAAGTTTCGGTGAAAAATATAAGGTTTATTTATGTATATTGATTTGAGTTTTGAAAAAAAAAGACAAATGACCGTTCAACGGTCAATAAACCATTCACCAATCACCGGTTCTGTCTTAACTCATTGTTGGGAATACGAACAACAACGACCACGCCCGACCACGAAATGTCGGGGTGGTGTGCATGGATTTTTCTCGTGGCCACATGGACCACGGATGCTCACGTTGAGAGTATACCAATTGGTCTGACAACTTTCACATTGTGGTATTTGGAGTGGTATTTTAAGAAAAATAAAATACCAAGACTAACACCCTGCTCCCGAGTTCATTAAAGGAAATAAGAGAAAAGAAAGGAAGAACAATGAGAGAAAAGAAAAGAAAGGGAACGGAAAGGATAAAGTATTTCGTGCTCCCGAGTTCGAAAGAAAGTATTCATTTTAGGTGCTCCCGAGTTGAAAGGAAATGAAAAGAAAATAAAAAAAAAAGACAATTATACCCTTCATGTTATTGAGTAAATATTTTAAGTGTTTACAACCCCACATCCCTTCTACCCCCCCCCCCCCCCCCCCCCCAAAAAAAAAAAAAAAAAAAACCAACTCCCCCCACCTCCCCGTCTACTTAAAACATTAACAAAACAATTTTAAAAAAAAAGGAAAACCGCATGTTATTCAAAACCGCATGTTATTAAATTGTTTTCAAGATGCAAAACAAAAACCACAAACAAATTAAAAAAAAAAAACCAAAATCATAAACCCATAAGATCGATCCAGTAACAATCACCCAAGGTTATTCAATCACGTGCACCCATCATATCTTTGAGGACACCCATTTGTATCTGAAGGGGACAACTGAACAATGTCCTAGCTTTTGCTTGATTTGCTGCCAAAAAATTTAGAGCCCTCGGTAATTCATGGGGTTCCAAACCCACCAACTCCAATTCTCTATAAATTTCGTCCCCTGTATACTCCCGAGGATAAGCTCTATCAAATATTACATTACCCTCCCTGATAGCACCAGCCACATTATCAACCGATTTCATTATCCTTGAGTTAAAATCTTTTTTTTTCTGCTTATTCAAATTTCCTCTTTTTACTCTTACACTTCTTTTCACCTGAAGACTGCCCTTGTGAAAACGGAGTTGGAATAACACCCTGAATGTCATCATCAAGATCAACATATTCGTTCTCCAAATGAATTTCATTGTTAGCTAACAAGTCATCAACTTCTTTAATTGTTTCAACTTGAACTTTTTCATTTTTATTTAATCGGTCATTTCTTTCTTTCGTTGTTTCAACATGTACACCAGATGCCATATCCTTTGCAAATAATACCAACATATCGTCGAAGTTTGCAATCTTTTTTGTCCTTAACGACGCAACCTCGGGTTTTGACTGTTTAACAACACAAAAATAATTAATATTGCAAACGATAACATAAAATATTTTAAAAATAACATAGACATAAAAGGAACACTTACATTTATTAAATTATCTCATACTTTTTCCTCCGCTTCTATTACTTGAGTAGACGAATTCCAAGAGAACCCGCTCAATGAAATTCCCCTAAACAAATCTTACCATTACGAAAATGTTTTTTTTAAGGTTTTGTAGCGATTCTTCAAATGACTTTTGGTAATATCCATTTGATGCTCTATGTTCAACTCCTCAACCATTTGAGCATATGCAGTTGGTGTGAAACTACCATTCACCCTAATACCTATCTCTTGTTGTCTAATCATCGCTTTGATGTACGCATAATCCATTTTATCTGACCGTTTAACTTGTTTCTTTTCACTACCACTAGCTTCCTGTTTGCTCATGATGACTTTGCACATAGGAATAAAAAATAACGAATCATACATTGTTAGACCATAATACGAAGCATAATACTAATGAAAAATATGAAGGGTAAATCACATAATTAATCTAAAAAACCAATCCTCAATACAATGTGAAATTGAAAACAAAATGTATCAATATAGAACTAGTTTTACATATTAATTTAATTGTTTGAATGTGCCAAATAATTTGCCCACATTTCATTTGCAATTGAATTCCTTAGTTGATCTGCCCTACTATTATCCTCATATGTTTCTGTTGAATTACGACGATCTTACTCTTGTGGTCCGTTTAAGATCTCCTGCCTCACCTCATCTTCAAGATTTATGTTGTGGTCTTCATATAATAAAAAATTGTGCAGAATACAACATGCAAAAAATATGGCAGATTGTGTTTCATAAGAGTAAAATGGTTCCGTTGTATTTCGAATGATAGGAAACCTTTTTTTAAAGACACCAAAAGCTCGCTCAATGGCGTTACGTAAGGAAGCATGACGAAGATTAAACAACTCTTTAGAATTTTGTGGACCATGCATGGAGTATTCTTTTAAATTATATCTAACACCTCTATATGACGCCATTAGTTTATTCATATGAGACAAACTCCCATCTACTAAACAATATCTACCTATAAAGAGCTTAATCAATATTACTGAAAAATATTAGATATTAAAATTACATTGGTTTAATAAAATACCTGATGGAATTAGTAGTTTATCATCTCTAGTAAATGCGTTCTTTATTATTCTCGAGTCTAATGCAGTACTCTCCCAACCCGTTAACACATACGTAAACTTCAAATCAAATGTACAAGCATCTAATACATTTATTGTCGGGTATCCTTTACGACCACGGTATCTAGGGGCATCTCTATTCCGCACATGGACACGAACATGTGTTCCATCTATTGCCCCTATACAATCCTTGAAAAAAGGATAAAATCTCCTACGTTCTTGAATTTCTCTCGGGACAACATCACCTGTAGGTTGCTGAATATAAAGACCTTCTATTGTTATAATCGATTGTAATACTTTATGGAAGCACCTACTTGTTGTTGATCTAGAGCGACGATACATCCACGAGGTAAACTAAGTTCGCAAATCATTACTTACAATATGCAAAAATCTAGCAACATGTTCCTCAACAGACATGCGCTGCGGTCGTCGTAGACCACCTACAGTTTGTAAGATTTCACATAATCTCCTAACAACATTTTCACTCATACGAATAAGGTCACGATATTGACCACCTTCTAAAAGATTGTGTAGCAACTCTTCCCGTACAGATTGTCTTTCTAAAATAACTTTTCTAGTGGGTAACCTAACCCGCTTTTTGTTGGCCATATTACATTGTGTAATAAAAATCAACAACAAGCAAATCAAGTTAACGACTTGCAATTGTCGTGCTCTTAAAGCACGAGCAGGGTTGAGTACCAGAGTATCCACAAGGACTATATATGAACTATTCCCTTTTTCTGATACATGATCAAATAGTTTGAGTTAAATTTAAACAACATTGATAAACAACAATATTTACTTTTTTTTTATAAGGACTATATATGAACTATATACATTTGTTAATTATAATGTATGATTCTATTTAGTTATTAAAGAAACAAATTTGATTCTATTTAGTACTGTGATGGAACTTTTATCGTATAAATAAACAACTACCCACATCACCTTAAACTAAGTATTTAGGTTAAGAACATCTTCATAGATTAAGATCGGTTGTCTTTTTATACTTTTAATAAATAAATAAATAAAACATTTGTAAGCATAAGTAACATACATGTGGTTTAGCATGGCAACTCCGGTTATTTAATCTTCCACTAAAACAACTACATTATCTCTTTAATAGTTAACTCTAATTTTTAGAACTTTATATATAAATATAATAAATAAATATATATGTAAGACTAGAAACACTTACTTCATGTGAATTTTGTGCATCTTTGCATATAAATTTTGTATATGAAAGAATCCATAAATCTAGATCACATTCTTCTTGTCTATTTGAAATCAAAATACCAAAAAATAAAATTAAATCCGATTATACATCTACAACAAACAATAAGTACTTAAGCATGTAAAAAAAACAAAAATTAATATTGAATTTAAGACTCATTTGTTAACAATATGTGTGTGTTTTTGTTTTTTGATACAATAATTGAACTTTTTGAAAAACCAACTTATAGTTTTTTAATTGTTTAAGTAGCTGAATAAAAAGGGTATATGGGAAAACCACAAAAAGGAAAAACAACTGTTATCTTTCTTTTTACACAACTGTTATCTTTCTTTCTATATATTTCTGCCCATTTATTGATATCTATTTAGTACTGTGAGCAGAAAGGAAAAACAAATTTGCCGGTATAGTCATTTGCTGATATCTATTTCCAATTTTACCCTTTTTACTTGAAATATAAAAACAGTTGTTGTTTATAAGAAGAAATTACGTACAAAAGAAACTAGGTACAAAAGAATAACCAAAAACAAAAGACAGGGAAGAGGATCAAGAACATAATATCTCAAAAAAAAAAACTAGTTTGAAGCTGTTTTTTTATCTCCAAATAGAAGAATAACAAAAAAAAAATAGCATAAGAATAAGAAGAAATTGTGCGTATCAGAGGAAAGACGACGAAGAAGGTAGAATAGAAGACAGAAAACATATCATTTTATCATCAGGTTAAGGGTATTTTCGTCATAAGGTAACTTTTTATTTTCTATGCATTTCTTTCTCTCCAATTCCTCCCGATTTGGGAGGAAAGTTTGGAATGGTACAATTCCTCAAAAATTCATTCTCTTCTTCTCTTCTCTTCTAAAAAAAACTAAGGAGCAACCAAACTTCTCTATTTTCCTTCCAAATCCTCTCAATTCCATTCTCTTTCTTTCGTTAAGTTATTATACTCAGGAGCGGGGTTAAAAATATGTGATCAATACAAGTTTAAAATCATGTAATTACTTTCCTTTTTAAAAGAGAAATTGATATGGAAGAGACAAGAATAATATGAAAAGGACAATAATTATATAATTTTAATCATTGAAATATTTGATAATTATAAAAAACGAGATCACAATGCAACATACAGTATTTTGATTAAAGAATTGTCAATTGGGCGAGTGACTGAGTGAGTGGTCTTCTTCCTCCCCTCTTCCCCTTTCAAACCCTCATCGCCTTTGTTTACTATTTTATTTCTTTCACAGAATCCGCGTATTCCATGAACTTTCTCGTGATCCCATCCATCTCTATTCAATTCTGCAACCACAAAGCATCTTAATCTCCCACTTGCGCACTCTCAAACCCTAGATTTTATAACCATCCAGGATTTTGATTCCTATTTTTCATAACCAACTCCAATAATGGCTGAAAATGGCGAAGAGAAGCTCATTGCCGTTGCCCGTCACATTGCTAAAACTCTAGGCCACACAGACAATGCCATGACTGATGACATACTCCAAATCTTCTCTAACTTCGATGGAAGATTACGCGAGAAGCTCAATGAAAACTTAAACGATGGAGACGATTCACGAAACGGTGTAGCTGCGCTTGATCAAACCCTTAAATCTCTCGATCGTCAGATCTCTAGATACGTCACGGTTGACCACCCGATTTGGTCAGATTCCGCCGACGCGTCCACTTTTCTTGACGCTGTCGATGAACTCGTTGCCGCGATCCGGGAGTGGACGCCGATGGCAGCTGATAAAGCAGTCACGGCGTGCCTTGACCGAGCCGAGGATCTACTCCAACAGTGTATGTTTCGGCTTGAGGAGGAGTTTAAGCTGCTAATGGAACGCGGCAGCGCTGATCCCTTCGAGAATACAGACGGAGGTGGCGGTGCTTATGTAGATTCTGATGATGAAGAAGACAATGATGAATACGATGAAGCAGAGATTCCGGTCGCGCATCCGGTTTCGGACTACAACATCATAATCGACGCTCTCCCATCCGGTGCGATCAACGATTTACACGAGATCTCGAAAAGAATGGTCGGTGCGGGGTATGGAAAGGAGTGCTCGCTCGCTTACAGCTCGTGCCGGAGGGATTTTTTAGAAGAAAGCCTCTCGAGATTAGGTTTTTCAGGGTTGCAAAAATCAAATGCAGCTCTTGAAGATGATGATAACGAAGTCGAAATCGACAAGTGGATCAAAGCAATCAACATGGCTGTTCGAGTGTTTTACCCTAGCGAACGCCGCCTCTGCGACCGTGTTTTTGGGTACTCCTCCTCCACCGCTGCTGCAGCTGATCTATCTTTCATGGAGGCGTGTAGAATTTCCTCTATGGAGCTCCTTAGTTTTGCCAATGGAATCGCAATGGGTAGCAGAGCACCGGATAGACTGTTCAAAATTCTTGACGTTTATGAAGCCGTGAAGGATTTAATGCCTGAATTCGAGGTACTATTTGCTGATCAATACTGTCTGTTCATTAGAAACGAAGCTATAGGAGTTTGGAAAAGATTAGGGGAGTCAATCAGAGGAATTTTCATGGAATTAGAGAATTTAATCCGCCGTGATCCAGCCAAAGCTGCTGTTCCTGGTGGAGGTCTTCATCCCATAACCCGTTATGTCATGAATTACCTCCGAGCTGCATGTTCTAGACCAACCCTAGAACAAGTTTTTGATGAAAACGTTGTTCCTCCAGTGGGTATCGATAGATCATTCTCACCATCTTCTCCGTTAGCAGTACAAATCGCCTGGATAATGGAAGTTCTAGAAAGCAATATAGAGGCAAAGTCTAAAATCTACAGAGACCCTGCTTTATCATCTGTTTTCATGATGAACAATGGAAGGTATATTGTCAAAAAGGTCAAAGATGATGAACTGGGTTCACTTCTAGGAGATGATTGGATCCGAAAACACGCAGGAAAAGTGCGACAATATCATGTGAATTACCAAAGAAATTCATGGAATAAGATACTCAACACTTTGAAACTGGACAACAATAACTTATCTCCCAATGTTGCTTCCAAGTCCTTCAAAGAGAAACTTAAGCTATTTAACTCTCATTTCGAGGAGATTTGTAGAACTCAATCAACATGGGCTATATTTGATGAACAGTTAAAAGAGGAGTTGAAGCTTTCAGTAAATGGAGCTTTACTCCCTGCTTATAAAACTTTTCTTGCCAGGTTTCTTAATATTCAAGATATTGCAAAATATGCAGAGAAACATGTCAAGTTCAATGTTGAAGACGTTGAAGATCGAATCAATGGTTTGTTTCAAGGAACTGCTGTATCTGGAAGTGGTCGGAAATGATAATCCCACAAGTAAGCTAAGCCAAGCCACTCTTGTTTTTTATTTTTATTTTTTTTTGTTTCAGTTTTGTATCATACTGTCTTATGTATGCATAATGCTCTAGCATAGTGTATGTTTTATGCCATGTAACATTCGTTAAATTTTGGCCATTTGTATGCGGTTAATCTCAGATCCATCGATGCCCAAATATTTTAACTGTTAATGGAAAGCTAAAATAGAATTGTTTCTGTGTATTTATTTTCATTCTACAACTTTTCAAGGATTTGTTTCTTGATGCATTCAGTAACATAGCCATAAGCTTTTTCACTAGGATGAATACTATCAAAAAACAAATATTCAGAAGAGTTTTGACATAGTGGCGTCACTGGGGTGCATATAGGCCCCGCCTCCACCAACCCTGTCCCACAGCATCCAATCATCGTTTCACGAAAACCTAAAACATATAGCAGCTATTAATAATGAATCTAAGCTAAAATCATGGCAGCAAAGCCAATTATAAACATACCGTATTTTTCAGGATTATTAATAATATCCATCAGTGGGTTGTATACATCTGCATATACGATTCTACTTCCTTTAAGAGACGTCTGTATACGAGGCAAGAATTGTAGAAGCTTCTTGTTATAGGCTTGAGCTTCCACATTCTGTTCCTCAACACATGTTCTTCCAAATCGTCTGTGAAACTTGGATGTGATTTGAATCGGTAGACAACCAATAGGAGGAAGCCCGGTTATTACCAGTGTACGACTACCGAGTTTGTAAAGCTCCTGCGAAAAGTTCATTCGAATTATCAAATATATTCATACATACCTTAATGAACATAATCAATACCTTAATGAAGTTATGGAGCATTTGTATGATGAATTCTTGGTAATTATTGATGTCGAATACGGTTCTTCTTGTTGGAATGTCATAGAAGTTGAAAATAAAGTCATTGGTGCCTGCGCTAACACTCACCAAAGCATGGTTTATGATTCTCTCTGCTTCTTCTTTTCCGAATATCTTGTTGAGCATCTGTGTGTAGTTCTTGAAATAAATGAGTTGTTGAGACAGTGGTAAAACTCGAGTGATGTCGGCGGTGAGGTTATCGTATCCGGTTCCAGCTGAAGCAAAACAGACACCTGTACGCAGTTCATTGGCGGGGATATCTGGCTGTAGGAAGGGTGGAATTGTCTGTTTTACCCCTAGGAGAGACGCCAACAAGTCGACAGCTAGCTTCCCGTTTGAAAATCTGCCTGTGGGGGTACGACCCGGGAAGTCTTTTCCGTAAGGGTAATGGTTGGCTTTGATAGGGGTAGTTATGTAATTGTTGTTGCCTGTGTCGACCGTTGAATCACCAAATATGAGAATAGCGGGAAACTTTTTGTGGGGTGAGATTGATGGAACGTGCAATAGTAATATCAGGAAGAAAAAACGGAGATGAAGAAGCATTGTGAAACATTTCATTTCATTTCTTAAAATGAAACAGGAGAAGGTTATTTATATATAATAAATATAATATATATTGATTATGACGTTATAAAAGTTTTGTTGGAGTAGAAGTAAAACAGTTAAGAACCTAAAAGTAAAGATTATTGACTTGCACCATGAGCAGTAGAAGATGTACCTTGCTTTGCTTTGGGTTTTCTCCCAAGAAAAGAAAAGCTTGGTCTTTAGGAAGGAACTGTTGAATGATATTGTGAAACCTTAAAGAAAGAAAGAGGAAAGTAAGGTAGGGTAGCTTTAATGGCTTGTAACCTCATGCAATGGGACTTGTACCACATGGACATGGGCTCTGCAACATATCTGACCTGATCTGCTCTTGTGAACGCTGCAAAGTCGCAACTGCCATGTGATTGCCTCTCATTTGAGCCATCGTTCACGATTAACATTTAATTTGTCACAGAGTGGTGGTGTGCTTACTGCAATTTTTTTGTTGGTCTAAAATAGAACCAATAAAAAATCTTCACGTTCATGGAGGTGATCAATGCCATTCATTATGCGGATGTATCCATTAACCTTTGTATAATGTATATGGAATATAGTATATTTTACCATTTTTTATTTTTTTTTATTTTGGGGTTAATCTAAATTACTTACAGGGAAGGGAACCGGTTCAAATGGAGACCACAAAAATATGTGAAAACTAATCATTCACAACTAAGTGATGTGAATATGATAATAGTTGATATTCATCATTTACATAAAAATCATCATATATAAACATACAAATATCAATCGATTTCTTGTTGTATATCATGGTCACGGTTTTCATTTGAATCAGACATTAATCCAGTATTTGGTTTGGTTTAATGATTAATGGTTGTGTACTAGTTTTTGGAAAGTTTTGTATGTTGGTTGTCATTTCCCAGCATCATTAGTTTACTTTAGATGTTAGGTGTCTACACACATGCAGCTTTATATAAAATGAAAATGGCATCACGTAAATACGGAAAACCAACTCATGTGGGTGTACAGAATCTAATACAAATAGGGAGAATGACAACGTGAATTAAATATAAGATAATATGAATTCAAGGGATGTATCCTAAAATAAATAGTAAATCATAAAATGTAGAATTCTATAATCATATCATCATATCATGAATTCATCATGAAAGTGTTACCTGACAGACTCGCTATCTCAGGTCAGGTGGCCATATGGAAAAGTTGAAGGCCAGACTATAAAGACCAATGAGTAATGACACAGGCTGGTAACATTATAAAGTATAAATCCACATACATGAGAATCGATGCAATGAACTCATATAAAATTGGAAACATAATTTAAAAAAATATATATATACATGGAAATAAAGTGGTGCAGAAACCAGACCATTTTTGGCTACTATGCATAAACCAGTTGTGGGTTAAACCGGTTTATGGCCCTGTTACAGATCAGACTGAAATCGGATTGGAAAAATGTAGATTAAAAAACCATTGCTTTCTGATTTGAGTTTCAGAATTTAACAAAATTTTCTTGTTTGATAAGATACTATTGTGCAATAAATAGAACTCATTGTTTCAACATGGCAGTAGGTCGTTTGAGAAACCTCCAAATCTTTGTTTCAACAAGTGATGAATCAAATTGACATTTTCTTTCTACTTCACTAAAACCCAGAATTCACATATGTTTTAAATCAACTTTTGACGGATTTTTAAAAACATTTTTTTTTTTGTCAAACTCCTTCCTATCCGGTTTCATGAAGTATATCTCCGATTAAACTGCATCAGTTGTAGCAAAATTGGGCTTTTTACACATGAATATGAATGATCAGCCCAATTATAATTCTTTCCTATCCCTCGTTCAATTCTTTTACAATCTACCGGTATTATTGATTATAGGCACAAATACAATCCGGCATTAGAGATAGGCTTGCACAAAAAAACCGGTTTACTATCCGAACTGGTGGCCGAACCGAAAACCGGTTCACCCTTGAATTGGTCCACTGTTGAACCGATCCAATGTCGAACCGAACCGCCGGTTTGTAGTAATTAGGACTTCTAGCCATTCGAACTGGTTTATGCTGAATCTGTCTAAAAAACTGGTTTGAACTGGTCTAGAGAACCGGTTATGAACCGGTCTTACAAATTAATCATGCATATATTAGCCATGATATCCTAAGAAACAAAGCAAACATTATAAAAAAGAAACAATTCCGTCCGATTTTTTTTAAATGGTTCACCGAACCGGTTTATGGTGAACTGATTTCAGGTGAACCGGTTTGTACTGAACCGAACCGGTTTGTATAGGTTCGAATTATTTTGGTGCTGAACTGGTTTGAAACCGAACCGGTTTTGACTTCGTTGACTAGAACCGAACCCGTTTTTTGAACCGGTGCGGTTAAAAAAAATCGGGTTGTGCATGCCTAATTAGAGATGCCATCGAAACAACACAACTATATGACACTTAACACCCCGTTTAACCTCTTGATTGATTTTTAAGCAAAATTTTCCATTAATCAACAAAACCCAAAACCACCCTATTATATGCGATATGTAGTGGAGGCGATTAAACATCATAGTCATACTGATACTTACAACATACTGAACTTCCCAAATAATATAAACACTAGCCCAATACTCAAATCGAATTGCATTGCATTGATTACCCATTGTGACTTGTGAGTGTGAGACCAAATTCAACTAAAAAAAATACAAATTGGGCATAAAATATCAAGATATGTCGATTAAATTGCAAGTTTGTTTCATGGCATGTAGTAGGTACAGTAGAAGCAAAGTCATTAATAGAGTTTTAAGTTTCATTTCTATAAATTTTAAATATTACAACCAGGCTGAATCCAACCCAAATAATATTCATGAATCAATTTCGTATAAAAATGGCTTTCTTACCAATGTGTATGATGCCACTTTTTCTGTTACATTGTACTAATTAGTATAATTACTAGAATTGAAGTAAAAAAAAATTAAATTACTTAGTGTGCGTTTGGTTGACAGGAAAGGAATGAAATTCGAAGGAAAATGATTATAATTCCATCGAATTCATGTGCTTGGTTGGACTTAGAGGGATGCAAATGATTCCTAAATGAAATACACTTTCCACCATATGGAGGAAAGTGAATTCCTTCCAAAGTTGAACTCATCCGTGATTGGAGCAACATTCTTAGTTTTGATCTATAAAATAAAACAAATGTTTTAGAATTGTTTAATCCATACTGAGTTGAGTTATTATACAAGGTGGGGTGAGAATTGATGAAACTCGATAGGTATTAATTTCCACAAAGAACCTAACTAACTAATACTTCTATGGATTGGATGCAATGCAAATGATCCAATAAACTTTAACCAAAGACACACAGAAAAGGAAAGAAAAGAAAAGATATACATATCTGAGATCATGATACAAAAATCAAAAAATAGAATGTGCATGCATGCATACTGCTTCTTTTGTCCCTTGTTCTAGCTATTTACTTTCATATATCACTGTAACTGCAAGGAATGGAAGGTTTCGAAGCTAGGTAATCCTTAATTATCTTGATACCAGCTGCCTGCCATGCTCAAATTTCTTTTATTTAAAACTGTACATAATGAAAGTTCTACTGATGAGTTCCAAATGTTTAGAGGTCTTCGTCAAGGAGATCATCTGTCTCCTTTTCTCTCCATCCTTGTTATGGAAGGTCTTCATGTTGCTATGAAAGATGCAAATGATGCTAACCTTTTTCCAGTGTACATGCTGGAGTTGGGTGTTTTCAGCTATCACATTTGTTTTATGCTGCTGATGTTATTTTTCTTGGAGACTGGGTGAGAAGCAATATCTGTAATATTGTTATAATTTTACAGTGCTTTTATCCAGTGTCACGGTTGAAGATAAATATGAAAAAAATTGAACCTTTATGGGTACGTGTTCCTTTTCAAGAAGTCGAAGATTTGGCTTTATTGGTTGGGTGCAAAGCGGATAGATTTCCATTCACTTATTTTAGGCTTCCAGTGGGCTAAAATATGTCTATAGTTATTGGGTGGAGTTCGATAAAGAATAAATTTAAGAAAAAGATTTCCAATTGGAAAGTGTATAGTCTTTCTATCGGGGGTAGGTCTTTACTTCTGAAGTCGGTATCGGGATCTCTGGGTATTATTTATATGTCTATGTTTTTAATGCGTGTGCAAGTTGCTACGAATTTGGAATCTTTATGAAGTCATTTTTTTGGGGGAGGTACTAAGGATAAACGGAAAATACATTGGGTTACTTGGGATCAAGTTTTGGCAAATAAGAAACAAGAGGGCTTGGATATTGGTAGTTTGGTTTCTTTTAACTTTTCTTTACTGCAGAAATGGCGATGGCAGTTCCATATTGAAGGAAATGTTCTTTGGGTTCAAGTTATTAAACACTTACATGGAGAAAATGGCGGTTTTGATCAGAGAAGGGGAAACCGGATAGGCGATGGGTTAGAATTGTTGCATCTAATGTTCGGTTACATAATTAAGGTGTTAGGTTGGATAAAATAATCTAGCTAATTGTTTTCCTAGATTGTTCCAACTTGAACTTGATAAAAATTGTACTATTGCTAGTCATAGAAGATAGGAGGGATGAAATTGGAATGGGAGGCATCCAATTAGAGGTGGCATTGAAACTTCTTAACACATGGGGATGCTTAATTGCTTAACATAAGTTACTATTAATGATTGTAGTGATAGATGAATTTGGACGATTGGAGATGATGGCAATTTTACAATTAATGTAACTAGAAGATGGATTGACGAGATTACCCTCACACACTCAGGTACGAAAACAAGATGTAATGCTTTTATTCCCAGGAAGGTTAACATTTTAATTTGGAGAGTGTTGAGAAACAAAATTCAAACTTCTTTCAACCTTTCGAAATTAGGGTAGGATGTCATTGGCGAATCTAGAAAAATAAGTTACGTGGTTCCTCATACAGAATTAGATAGGTCATTTATATTTTTCAATACTAGAAGGTAGGTCCTAATATAATTTCTATAAAATATTAAAATTTAGGTAGGTCCTAGGACCCGCCTGGAGTATATGTGGCTATGCCACTGTTGGATGTTTAATCTATTATGTGTTCGTTATGCGAGCTAGAGGTTAAACAATTAAATCATCTTTTTCTTAAACGTGAGGTTGCTGCAAGAACTTGGAACGCAATGTTTAAGTGGTCGGATATTTCTCAACCTCACTTCCCATTGGTTATTGATTTGTTTTTGTGGATTGATCAAGTGTCTATCTTTGCGAAAAAGAAAGTGTTTGTGGATATGGTTGCGTGTACAATTATTTGGTATATCTGGAGATTCAGTAATGATAAAGTTTTTGCGGGTGTTAAGACTAGTCAAAGTGATATAGTAGACTATATTCACCAATTTTCTTTTATTTGGTTTGCTAATAGAAATACA